TGGCGTTGAACGTGGTCCGCATGGCAATGCTCATTAGTGTAAGAGGGGGCATATCCAGGTTATCTGAATCGTTCAACGAAGACACCGTGTCAGGATCGTTGACGAGAACTTCCAGTTTGGCGTGGGAGGAATTTTTCAAGGTGCCAAAATCAGCATCTTTAATCTTAAGCCAACAAGGACCCATGATATTCTTCCATAATACAAACTGTTCGAACAGTGCAGTGCCAGTGCCGAAGACCTGACAGAAGGTTTCACCTGTAGTCTCTGGGGGAATCTGCTGCTCTGATACGAGTGAGTACATGAACCACGTTAACATAGCAGATATGACATGGCTTACTTGTGTAAGGATATAATAGTTTCAAGTACTGTCCCTCCTTGGGAATACCAGGAAGCTCGAAAGCATATTTTCTAGTGCAGGCCTTTGCCTTATACATGCCGACCTGCATTTTAGTCATGATCTCGTCTATTTCTGAGTAAACGTCCATCATTTCGACCTCCTCACTCGTGTCGCGCTCATCTTTCTGACGATACTGGCGTGGCAGGAAGAACAAATTTCTCATAATATTATCGATCTTGACGAAGCAGCTCACATATGCGCCGGTCTTCTTGTTCAGAACTTTCCCGAAAAGGCAAAGCGAACCATTGATTTCAGTATAGTCGGTCCAGAACATATTGAGACTGCCGTCTTCTTCGATGGCGTTCTTATAGTCGATCTTCCCGATAGTTCGGCTTTCAGTGGGTGAGCTACTGACAATGCTTAGCTTGTTTGTGAGGTCGTTCCAGGATGAGGAGTCAATCGCTGAATCAGGTGCCTTCGAAGGGGAAGAGCTCCCCGGAGACGGATATGGATCAGGTTTAGCCAGCTTCTTGACGGGCCGAGATGCGGATAAATTGACGCTGGCAGTATTGATCGTACCGGCATGAGCAACCTCCATCATCTCTTCATCGTCCTCCGCAGGTTCAGTCTTAGCTTGAGTTCTACGTTGGACAACTTTCGTCGTGGGGGATGAAGGTGCTGCAGCAGAATCGCTCATGGGTAAGTCGGTAGTGGGTGGCGGAAGATCATCGTCCATAGCCTGGAGGAATCCGTCATCGTCCGGGTAGGTATCATCAGCTTGGGGTGTTGGCGGTAATCGCTCTTCGCTCATCCTCGGTTTCTTGGTGACGGGTTGACGAGTCTCTCGAATAGGTGACAGAACGCGAGCACGGCGTCGTTCCGGAGACCTGTGCCGCTTTGAAGCTCGAGATACTGGGGCCGGGATGTTCGTGTCAACTTCGCCAAGCAAAGCCGCCAGAAACTTTTCATCGTCTTCGGTTTTCACAACCTAGTATCATAATCAGCTATATATGGATTTGTTAGTTCAATAGGAATCGTCACCCCACCTTCGGTTTCTGTTGAGGGGCAGATTGCCCCTTCATGAAGTACTCGCTTATGTCGCGATCATTCGCGTCTCGTTTTGCCTTTTCCTCCTCTCGTTTCCTCTTCTCTATTACGGCTAAGGTAAGCAAAAGATCATATGGGAATATGTCAAACTTGCAATACCTGAATTGCGATCCTTGCCTCCAAGTACGACGTCATCCTCGCTCTCAGAACCATAAGTATGCATACGATCCCATTCCTCTCGGCCATCGTCGGCGTAGCCTTCACCATTGTCGTCAACGACAAAGTCATCTTGGTTCAGACGATCGCGAACAATCTTCTTGTATTGGTTCTCGTCGACTTCCTCATATAGGTCTTGTTCTTCGTGAACCTCGTAAGAGTCGTAGGCCTTCTTGCCAGAAGCCCGCAGAGCTTTGAGCTCGGCGAACTTGCTACGCTTGTTGATGGCCTTAGACATCTTAACTCGTCCAAGATGACCAAAGCGGGATGTCTGCGGACGATGCGTTACAAGAAGTAACTCAAGTGCAAATAGCAGATAGGGAGGAGACGCGTGGGTAAATCAATTGTCACGGGGAATCTTTAATGGGAAACGGGAAATCGAAAACGCGACGCGAGCCACTTTTTCTAAATTGCGTCGGCAGCGCGAATCCCTGTCAGGTCAATCCAATTAATCATCCAGAAACATGGCTGGCAGGCTGGTGGCCATCTGTGGCGCGTACCTGGGTATGTACTGCCTTACCTAAGGTACCGATCCAGGGGTGTGGAAACATTGATCTTTGGGCCGGCAGACCGACACGGCCCGACACGGCCCTGCACACGATCGACGTCACAGTCCGCCCCGGTATCAGGTATCGGATAACAGAAGCTTATCGATTAGCACTTGTGGAAAAATCTCCCAAATATGCGATCAATGCATAGAAGCTGTTCAAGCATCGACACCCCCAGTGCTGGCGAAGCAGATAATCATGTTCGTTTGCAGAGCATGTTTCACGAGAGCTTTCACTACTTTACGTACACACAAAAGTGCTACCACTCTACAACCCATCTTCAACTCAATCCTCTCCCGTCGACAACGATATGCGACAGCTCCCATCTCTGTCGAGTCCCCAAAGCAGCCTCCAAAACGACGTCCTGATCGTCCATCCCAAAGGCTCCGCAAGTGGGCTGCCACGAAACAACTACAATACTTGAAAGATCCACTGCATATCGCCGAATACGTCAAGAAAACGCTAGATAAAGACAACTACGATGAGGCTGCCTTGATCGTAAGGAAAGCCAGCAAGGATACGAAGGTCTCTGTCAGCTGGAACCATTTAATCGACTATCTGCTGAAGAAGGGTAGACTACACGCCGCTCTCAAACTCTTCAATGAGGTTGGTTTTCGCAAACATTGTCATCGATCTTGGCCCTAGCTTGCTTACTTACACTTGTTTAGATGAAGAAGAGGGCTCAGCTTCCGAATGCCCAAACATATACCATCATCTTCAGAGGCTGTGCTAATTCGCCTCATCCAAAATTAGCCTTAGCGGAATCGATGAGGCTTTATCAGAATATGCTATCCAGTGGTCGCATAAAACCAAATGTCATTCATTTGAATGCCGTCCTACAAGTATGTGCTAAGGTCCGAGATATCGACTCCCTGTTCACAATTGTGCGAACGGCAAACGAGGGCATGAGGGCACCCAACAATCTGACATATACAACCGTCCTCAATGCACTGCGACGGTCGACAGAAGACAAGTACGAACACGTTTCTGCTGACGAAATTAATACTGGTGAGATCAAGAAGGAAGTAGCTCGAACAATTGAATTAGCCAAGGGCGTGTGGGAGGACGTTGTATCAAAATGGAGAGCGGGCTCCGTCGTTATTGACGAAGAATTAGTGTGTGCAATGGGGAGGGTTCTGCTTATGGGTAACTACCATGACGTTGACTCAATAGAGGCATTAGTTGAACAGACAATGATGATTTCTCGAGAGAAACCTACGACGAGCGAAGACGCCAAGGGGGTAGATGACCCTGCCGAGACCGGGGCAGACCCAAAGCTAGTCACTACGGCGAGCAGGCATAACAAGAGCAAGGCCCCTGGGCTACCTTCAATCACCCATGCGCCTCCCGGCAATAACTCGCTTTCTATGCTCCTTTCGGCCTTCGAGAAGACCGGCAAGACGAGTAGGGCCGAGCGGTACTGGGGCATTTTCACCAAGCGTTACGGTGTCGTCCCCGACGCCGAGAACTGGCATCGATTATTTGCAGTCTTCCGTCGCGGAAAGAACAGCGCCAACGCCCTTTCAGCCGTCCGCAACATGCCGGGTGAGCTGATGGTCCCGAAAAACTTCCGGTCGGCCATGAGCACCTGCCTACGAGACAATCTCAACCGATCCTCCTTCAACCACGCGACGCAGATACTAGAGATCATGCTTGAAAAACTACGCATCCCCGATCTGATAACCCTCCGTACGTATCTACGGGTAGCTTACGCCAATAGACGCCTATTTATAGAGCAGTCGAAAGGTAACTACGATGAGGCGATGAGGGCGTACGGCAAACAGCTGGCAGCTGCCCTCGATAACCTCTGGAAGCCTTACCGGATCGCCGCAAAGCATTGCGTGTATAATAAAACAGGTCCGCATTCGAAAGCCGAGGTAGTTGCCCTGGCGCGGAAGATGATCACCACCTACGATCGGCTTATATTCAACGATATGGTGCCTCCGGCCGTGGCGGAGAAAATGAAGCCGACGCGTAACAATTTGAATAGATTCGTTGTTGCCCACTTCGAAGAATTGAAGAAGGAGGCTTCCAATCCGAATGAAGGTAAAGAAGAGAAGGAGGCGAACGAAGAGGACGGCGATGATGAGGACGAGGGTAACGATTTCTTCGAACAAATGCGGCAGAGACGTGTTCCTGTTGGGAAGCGTACAACAACCGAGGGGTGGTAGTTGGAAAGCTCATCCTCATAAACACCATGTATGATCAATGCTTTTGTAGTGTTGTATATTCCTCTCGCGGTGTACAAAATACCCCTTCGTATAGAGACTATGTATACTAGTGTGGGCAAAAAGCGTTGATACATATTCACCGAAATGTTGGAGGAAATTAGGAGCATGTCAGGCCAACCATCTGACAATACATCCAAATTCCACCCAAGGAAAAATACCTTACCGTATGGCAACTATCCTGCTAGCACCCCTAAACCGGTCACCTAGTCTAGTTGGCCCTCTAGATGATACATCATTCGATCGCTTGAAAACCAGCTGAACCGTAATTGTTAGCTTTGTTAGCACCGCTATGGTTTGTCCGATGCTCTATGAAATTTCAAAAATTACCGTACAGCATACTCATACGTTTTAGTCATCGTTGTTCATCTCAGATTGTCATAATATAAGCTCAACAAAGACGGGCCCACAAGTATAATCCCTCCAACAACTGAACCGCACCTGTTCGAAATGTAGAGACATGGCCCACTCTGAGTCCGCTCAACGAGTGCAAGAAGAAGGTTATATACTGCCAAATACTTCATGTAAATGAAATAAGTCATTATGCGAAGTAACACGGGGCACAACCAAAAAAACATAATGACAAGGAAAAACAAAACAATGCGAAAAAGCAAAAGTTACAGACGACACCGATGAGATTCGAACTCACGCGGGCGAACCCAATGGCTAATCCGCTAAGTATAGCAGGCCATCGCCTTAACCACTCGGCCACAGTGTCTCTTGGTTCCACATTTGGCTAACCCCTTAAGCTTATTGAAAAAGAACTGGCTTTAGGATAGGTTATAAACTTAATCCCAATTCTCAATAATACATGCCAAGTACATATCGCTAGTCGACAATAGCAGTGTCGCTTCTGAGCCCTATTTTCTAATTCCCAAATGCCCTTTCATACGCACAGCTAATGCTCACTCAGTTCCGCGACACCTTACTTTACGCCTATATATTCCTTCGAGAGGGTTGAATAGCTTCAATACTTATAGCCCATATAGGCACCATCGTAGCTTGGCAGTGCAGGTATCGTTCGTTGACCTTATCCTTTTCATTCCTTGTCCCTCTATTTTTGGGTTTCGCAAATACACAGGAATTGTGTGGCCAAGCCTCATGAAGAAAAAGGGAACGAGGGCCGATTTTCGAATGTCATGCATCTAGCAATTTAACTCTATCAGCTTCTTAGATACATCCTGTGCTTGAGTCAAGCTTGAGTCGAGAAGCTGCTGTCGCCTGGCCACCGAACACGTCTTGATACCAAACATACCTGGTTCATATGATGGGGTAGGTTGACTGCTGCTTCGAGAGTTCCAGCACAAGTGCCTATGTATTTCTTTGCTTGCACGCATAAGCTTCTGCTACATCGGAAGATAGTTAGTCAACCATGCAGCCAGACAACGCCCAGCTGTGCAAAGAGCTCGAGACTTTCTCGCTATATCATTCATACAAACTACAACATACCTACAGCATAAGAAGCATAAAAATGAAGCCATGCACAGAGCCGAGGATAGAATATCATTCCAGATGCAAAGGAACCCCTTATTAGAGTTCAACAGGCACAGTGATATATCACACCAGATTCTGACTACTGCTCGAGCAACATGCTCACCCAGGCGTTTCTAGCATCCATATCCGCCACTTCGTCTGATCCCAAGCTACGGTAAACCGGCGATGTCGTCCAGTCCTCCCAGTCTAACCCCGCTCCGGTGACCTCCCGTAGAAACACTCTGGCTCCTTCCAATGCGAGATAACCGCTATTTTGTTTCGATCCCGGTTTCATGTTCCTACTCTCAGATTGGTGACTAGTTAACGGGATCGAGGGAAGAGAGCTCAGTTCCATTAGCGACTATAGAATTTACAGTTAGTAACTAACACGGCGGTGAATACAAAAATAACAGCAGCAGCAGCAAGACTTCTTACGGTCCAGACTGGTTGGGTTCTCGTCGTAGCTAACTACTAAGGTGGAGAAAATAAGCAACTCTGGAATACTTTCTTCACCTACCTGAAGAGCCGCCACGGCACGATCATGCCGTTCCTGCCGGCCGAGCTCGACACCATCAAAGGTCGAAACGGCCCCGGACCGCCGATCGTAGACGACATTGACCCAGAGACCGTCCTCGGCATACGGGACCAGCAGAAACCGACGGTGAAGCAGCGCCACGCACTCCGCGTCGGCGAGGCAGCCCCTCCCGCCGGGCGCCAGCACCGCGCGCCCACAGACGACGTGGTTGTGCAGCTCGTCGAGGCAGACGAACCGGTTCCCCGTGAGGACGTCGCGCCGACCCATCGAAAGGCCCTCCATAGCCGCGACGAGCCAGAGCTCCGCGTCCCGCACTTCAACATCCGGAGTCAGTAATTACTGCTTTTGGAGAGTTTCGAAGCATGTTTCGGGAGCAATGTGCTCACCCGAATTCTCAAAAGGGCAATTTGCATTTACGAGACTGCCTGAAGGGGAAATAAAGAACTCTGGAATTTACTCACGGTGGTCGCTCCAGGTGGTGCTGCCGTAGCCGCCGAATCTCCCGTTTTTGGCGAAGGCCGGCGGCGGCGTCTGGAGCCCTGGGTCATTGGCGGCTGGGAATGGCGTAGCGCACGAGGGGAGCGCTTCGTCTCCCTTCTGGCGGGACTCGGGCGTGCGTGAGAGTTGCTCGTAGCGTTCCCGGTCCCGGTCACGATCCCGGTGGGTCTGGAGGAAGTGCTGTACAAGCGCGTTGATGGATGCCATCTCGAACAGTTCTCTGTCTCGGAGAAAGGGGGTTGGATAGAGCTCTAGCTGATACATAAGGAAAAGCTGGGATGGCTCATGTTAAATATCTCCAGTATCCTATTATAAGTTATACACATCTTGGTGGAGCGGGAGGCGTGGCAAGACGTGCTGTGCTGGACACGGTGGTTATGACAGCAGGTTAACCAGGTCAGCCCTCTAGTCAAGTTCAGTTCCCGTTGTGGACGGTTACGGATGATAACTGGACCTGTGTAAAGCAGTTTATTTCGATGTTTCGATACACTCTCAAAGTCCTATGACTCCGACAGAAAAGTGGCCAAGGCTTGCATTTTGTACGTATATATGGTAGCTAGCATTTAGGGACTATGACAATATAACAAATTCATAATGCCTTCTGCCTTTTGTTAAGCTAGGGGTGCTAGGAGATCCAGACAGCTGAGGCGTCGTTTGTCACCTAGATAGCCGCCATACACGAGGCAAAGCGGTAACACAGAACGTCAACATCACTTCTCACTTCTCACTTTTCATGAGGGCGGCGCTCATCTTTTTCATATCCCGCTATCTCAGACGCCGTGGCAGTTGCGAAGTTACGAGAAGGTGGATAGGCGAGTGAGTCTGGCTTTTGGAACGATGACTTCGGTGAGTGTTACTTGGCGACACGCAGCCGACTCATGTTATCCATTTTGATATACGTCAGTCAGTGTGAGGTGGTCATATACAGTACCGGGCCTGGTGATATGAAGAAAACGGCAAGTTAAGCGGAAGAGGGAAACTAGCTTGCTGATTGCCAAAATGTACAAGTGTTCATGTGTAAAACACCAATATCCGTACTAGGTACTCAAACATGAAAACACCTACTAACACGTGTCCCATAGGCAATATACGGTTATTCATAGCAGGAGTAGCTCTTTTATTAGAATGGAATTGAAGTATCAAACAACAGTATTCATAAACGTAGATCTAGCTAGGTCTATTTTGAAATATTATTACGAAATACCATCAGACGTACCACAACATATTATATTGGCGGTAATGTCATAGATATTCAGCTAGAGAAAGGATTTAAAAATCATACGATGGCCAAAGTAATGGAATGAAGCATGCTATATTCCATCTGTATTGGATGAAATCAGTAGTGAGTAGTGTCAAAGGGGGTTTTCAGCACCCCCTTTTTACACATACGTGCAGGAGTACGATATCCAGCACATGACAAGATAGAACGAATTTAATGATCGCAGTGAAGTCGGCATTGTTGAGCCGTTCGCCAATAGGTTGAATTTTGGCAGGTGGCTGAAATTAGTAAAGCAGGCACGACACTTGCAAGATGGCAAGGTATAGTCCGGTAGGCATATTGCGAATTCATTCATTCATTTAGATTCATCTAATAGTACAGCCATCTCAGCCTCGAACTAGGCACTTAGGAATAGCGCTCGGCCTCTCTTGAGCTTTGGGTGACGCTCTCGGGTGGCTCGTAGCCCTCGGCAGATATGCTTCCCGGCACACTCTCGGGTGCGTAGTAGTCGGAGCCCTTGAACTGGTCCTTTCGCGGGGCGTACTTGGTACCCTCAATATTGGATTCGACAGCTTCCTTACCCTGCGACAACACGTCCTGACCTTCGCTGCCGTACGGTACGGTCGATTCCGTAGCATCTCGGGAACCGACGTCATGCTGTCGTTTGCCCGCCGAATCAAACTCGTCGTTTCCGCCGTAGTCTCTGGCCTGCTGGGCCAACTTGTGCTCCGGACCGCCGACACCCTCGAAGTGTTCGCCGCGGGTTTGTCTACGTCCATGTTAGTAGCCATGCAACAGCTTATTCGGAAATGAGGAACAGCTTGCCGGCCACGAGAATCTAGATCACCACCCTCCTCAGGCGGGATACGCTTGTTGTATGAGGCGTTGGTACTGAGATCATTGTCATATCTGACCTCGGCACCAGGGAATTTGTTCTCTGCTCGGGTATCGACACCAGCTTCGTCGTTCGGGGAAGTCTTGTGTGCGCCAGTCTTAGCCTCGTAGGTATTCAGATCATGCTCAGCCTGGTCGGCAATTTGACGCAGAGTCTCAGAAGATGGTGCCATTGTGCTGGTGATGGATGCCGAGATTCGTGAATTGGTGGTATGTGGTATACGTGGAATGTAAGGCTTGGTGAGGTTGGGTATCGTGGAATTGGAAATGTGTGACAGTGATCTAGCTGTCTAGAAAGATGTATAATGTGAAGAATCGGATGCTGAAGTGAATTAAACGAAAGAGCTTCATGTTTATTTCAATTCATCTGTTTGCTTGATATTCAACTACGTCATAGGCACAATCGCGATCTGATGCAACATGAAGTCATGAAATCATTGGCCACCACCTTTTCAGGGACCTGTGGTGGCAGCTTTGACATTTCTGAGCTCAGCGCCTACTTACATAGCGCCTACCTGACAGCCTGGTAACTTAGCTCTTAAGAAGGGGTAGGCAGTAGGTAGGCAGTAGGTAGGCAGTAGGTAGGCAGTAGGTAGGCAGTAGGTAGGCAGTAGGTAGGCAGTAGGTAGGCAGTAGTTACTACTTAGGTATATTGACCACGCAAAAACTGTCGAATAAGGTTAACTCTGCTGACGAGCATGATATCATTCTCCTCATCTCCGCTCCAAATGCTCCGGCGGCTCTGCCCTGTATGTATATGTAGGTTTGCTAGGTATTATGGATATGAAATGTTTCACTGCCGTGATGAGATAATCCAAAACATCATCAACGTAGCAGCTGCGTGGGCACCGGGCTGGATAGATATCTACTACGCCAATCAAACCAGCAGTCCTATGTAGGCTACGTTATTTACGAGTTTCTGAATGTGTAGATTCTCTGCCACACATACCCAGCCTTCTCGAGCAATGGGTGAGAGTCTACGTAGCCTCCTTCTGCTTCAGTAGATACCGGTGGTCTGTAAGCTACGCATCAGTTTCACGCGCAGGGCCTGATAATTCCGAAGTACAGCACCGAGGCGTAGGTTGGTGGTTAATAGCGC